CGCCAGCACGGACCACACTAATTGCCGAGGTGCTTGCATAGCTTTGGTTTGAACTTACACATACCGACCTAAAAGTGCTAACGCAGTAACAAAAACACGATTTGTCACGTGAGACACCACAAAAAGCTGCATTAATTACGACAATATTTTCATGGTTCCATTTCGCTCTATGGAAGGCTTAAACGAATAAATGCGATGTGGAGAGACTGCTTATCATCATGCTTTGAGTTTTAAACGAAATATAGCGAAAAGAAAATATGAACCAATAGCTAAGACAAGGAAACGAAACTTTAGACTCAGTATGGATACAGAGTATAACCACGTGGTGTTAACTACAACGCTAAAACTGAGGAAGAACCAGCTACAGCGACGTAGCTGATCTCGGTGAGATCTGGTTTTTCGACTTCCACCACGTCAATGGTAGTGCGATGCCAAGTGCTGGAGGATGAGTGCTCCTCGTCTGGATGTCATCTGTGCTGTCTGTCGGTAGAATTGTTCAACGATCTAGGAATTGAAACCCCTACAGTCCCAAGTATGTGTTATTCTTAGATGGATATTGTTGAAAGGACGAATACAAGGTCGTCAATATTGCTGCTCGAGATCCAAGATGTCTTCTTGAGTCTGTGGGTGTCTGTCTACTCCGCAGTCTAATACTTGTGTAGTGGCAGGTAAGGTTGCTTATCGTGCTGCAAATATAATGAAGAATAAAAATTCTTAAGACTTTACAAGTAAGTCACTTTCATCCTCATTATCACCACTGTCACCTTTTATCTGTCTCCTAATTCGGCGAGCTCAGCCACATGTGTCAGAGTGCCAGAATGCATCGTAGTTGCCTATCATTGTTGTTTGGTACAATTCATTCTTTACTGCATATGTACGGACGAGGATTAATGGAATGCGAATATCAGAATTCGGAAATGGTGAATGCGGCAATCAGGTTAGCGGGTAGAATGAGACAGACTCATCAACAGCTTAGTAAACTCATGAACAAATAAAAAATACAAGAAGATTTGTCCCTCAATGAAGACTATGCAAAGAGTGGAACTTAGAAAT